CCGGGTAACCCGTTTTTGGGCGTTTTTTTAAAGCTATAGGGGTTCTAACTTCTAATAAAGAGGGAAAAGTCTATGCCGGTGTTTTCGTCTTTTTTTTAACTCAGCGACTGCCATGTCTTCCAACCGTCCGCTGGTTTTGGCTTCCCTCGTGCTTCCGTTGGTTTCCGTAAGGCTAGTTGAACGAGATATACTGGGATGCAGACGGAGACGCATCACAGGCTTCGCTTTCCTGCTTCTTTGCCTCTCAGCTGTCCGAAAGCAAGGTCTGTTTACTATTTGGGGATACGCCCAAACGCTTCTGGATGTTGTTGATTTTGGATGGACGAGTTTCATCCATCCCAACTGATGAAAGATTGTGTCCATCCACTGTATCACCCCATCCAAACGAAACTTTAGAAACATGGCCATGCGGATAAACACTTGGCCTGGAGTCGAAGCGGGCATCTGGTAAAAACTTGGACACGGTGATTGAATGTGGAAATGTTCCTATAACTCGGCATAGTTGCAATTGTTGAGGTCTCTATGCCCCGTTTCAAAAGGTGCTGTTGGGGAATGTCCAGAAGCAGTGCCTCATCATCACGTGTTTGTGCTTTAGGAAAGGGTGGGGTGGATGTCTGTGGTTGCCCGCAGCAGAAGTGATTGTCAATCTGGGGCCTCGGACTGCATTTCCTTTATGCGCCAGCTCCGAATCGCAGCGCCCATGTTTGCAACAAAACCTCAAACAGGCCCCTTGATCAAAATCAGGCAGGTTTGCGCTCTGCGTTTGATGGTTCTGCTGCCCCTTGTTGGTGTTTTGTGGCCATGCTTTGCACCAAACATGCCCAGGAGGTCAGTACATGCGAAGGTCAACCTTCTTACCCTTTTGCACAAGGATCCAGTTCCGTTTGATGCCTTTTCAACAAAGCACGCTGATTCCTGCCTGGTCGCCATTTTGTGGAAACATCCTTGAACATCGGAATACCATGTCACCAGGGTTCAAACACCTTTCCGTCTGACAGTTTCAACGCCCACCTTTTCCCCAAACGGGGATGTTGCCTTTTCATTGGGGAGCCTCTGCACATCATCTAGCTGGGGGCTGTCCATCAACCATTTGGGTCTGTTTTTTTCTTGAGGCTACCCCCTTACATGTCCTTCGTTGCTTTGTTCCAAGGGGAGAAAGAAAAGAACACCTGCCAAAGGATCCCCGGGCGCCCTCGCCCCCGCCGCATGCCCTCGGATTCCCCGCGCCTGGCCCAAGCCGGGGGTCCCTCCCTCCGAGGCCCGGCGCATCTCGCCCACCAGGTCCGTCTGCCCGGGCTCCAGGTGACGAGGGGGCGCCACCAGCCAGATGGTGTGCTTGAAGGCCTCACGAATCAAAAGGAGAGAGTCTGGGCCGGCCGTTTTCAGATTTCAAAAAGGCGAGTCTTTTAAACTTGTCAGTTGCATGGAAACCCAACCACTAAAACCTAAATAAACTAAAAAGCTAAGGAGATGGGGAAACACCCATCAGGATGGGTCTGTCCTTCTTTGAGGGAACCTCTTCTTTGAGGGGTTTCACAGAGAAACCAAAAGGAAAACCCATTTTTCGGCGGGGGGGCTCAAAACAGACACCTGAATGTGGTCTGTGATGCAAAGACCCTGGAGCGCTTCACTCGCGCTTCTTCGCCCCTTGAACAGCACGGCTAACACTCAGGCGAGCCCGTAAATTGGCGGTCCCTTTCGGCTTCCCTTTAAATCCACTCCAAGAAGGGTGCCCCTCAGACAAGGACAGCTCAAAACAGGGAACATCCAAAAAAGGCGAGCTCAAAAAATGCCAAAAAAAGCCGAGCCACCATATGTCTTCCCCCCACCCCCTCCACCCCACCCCACCCCACCCCACCCCACCCCACCCCACCCCACCCCACCCCACCCCACCCCACCCCACCCCACCCCACCCCACCCCACCCCACCCCACCCCACCCCAAAAAATACATAAAACGGCAATTCTAACCTGAAAATTATTTTGAACAAGTATAGACACATTATAATAAATTACCTTATTCATTTACAATAAAACCCCTCAATATTACATAAGGTTAATACATCATTATCATCTATTAACCTTATCTAATTTACCAATCATTGTTCCTCAGCTTGTATCTTTCCTAAATTATGTTGAGCTTTGTTGTATTAAGATGTCTTCCAAAATGCCCTTGACTTATTGAACAATTGCAAACATCACAACTAACAATATATGTATTTCTCCTATAAGTCCTTTCCAGTTTCTTTTTTCTATACTCCTCATCGTTTTCATATCTAATTCTTTGTTCCTCGTTCATTCTCTCCCTATGTCTATTTTGATAGTCTCTTTGAGCTTTTAAACACTTATCACATCGCATATTATCACCACTGAAACTTTCCTTAGACTTATCATTTTTACACTTTGAACACTTTTTCACTGCTTCCATCCTTATCATAGAACTACCGTATTTCTTTAAAGGCGTTTCCACGACTAAGAAAGAGATAACCAAATTAAGGAAAAATGAAATATTTCAATCTTTACAAACTATAAGTACAGTATAATTATAACATATAAATTTTTACATGTTATAATTATATTTCAATTAAGAATTAAGGATTAAAATAATAGTCAGGCATTATGTCTTCAAATATGTAATCTACATATTTATCAATATCACCAATGTCTATGTATTTGATATTGTCTTTTCCAATTATAGCATATATGTATTCCCAAAAGAATAAATTAATTAATAGACATATTTTAAACTTAGTATTGTAATAATACCATATACAATACTTATTTGCCCCAAAATCATTTAATACTTCTTTTACTTTATCTTTGCTTAATAAATGCCAATCAACCTCTTCAAAAAACTCACGTTTTTTTTTAACAAATGCTTTATAAGGTTTAATATGTAGTTCTCCTCCAAACCTTTTAATCAAATCTTTATTATTAAAGAACTCATCAATTTCTTTTTCAAACGACTTTCTTACAATTTTATGGTAAAAATATACTGGAAACCGTTTGTGATATCTCATAAAGAATTTCAATTGTAATTGAAACTTTGTATATGCCTTATCCTTATGTTCTTCAACAAAAAACTTTTCAAGGTCTCTTGTTATACAGCACTGGTTACAATATACATTATACTCACTTATTTTATTGCACAGATTAGCGGGTAATAAGTTATACAATGTTAGATTAATATCATTATTTTTATTATTGCACCATTTACACTTACTATAATCAAACAGTGTCATTTTCCTCTTATTATATTAAGGTATTAAATCTTTAAGTATATTTTTCTAAAAAGTCACTTAAAGAAATAAACACATTAAATTTATATAGTATAGTATTATGAAACATGTTATAGATTATCTGTTGAATAATGATAAAGCGGAAATTCCAAAAAGAGGAAACAAGGAATTAAAATCAATAATTATAGATGGTAGAAAATTTAGATACAACAAAGAAAAACCCATCTCAAATGTTTTGAACAAGAAATTAAAATCAGAAGCAAGAACTAATGAGTATAATAGTTATGCAACAAAAACATTGCGCTCAACATACCTAAAACAAAGAATGAAAAATGCAATGACAAAATATGCAATCAAAAATAAATTCCAAGTAACAGACCAACAATCAGCTTTCAAAAGTTATGCTAATTCTATAAAACTAGTAAATAAACATTTTCAAGGTGAAAAGGCACTATCAATGATACACCACCAAAAAGATAGACTTTTGACCTTTTTGAAAACTAATAGAGCAATGAAACTGAATATAAGGGCAGAAGGTTTATTTTATCATTATTATGATGATGATGGAGTAATAAAACATACAGAGATACTTTATAATTTACCTGCAACAAGGGCAAACATATATAATGAAACCGATTTGGATGAAGCAATTGAAAAATCAATCAAAGAGATTTTGTTGAACATAGAGAAACTAGAAGGTTCAGCGTCTAATTTACAATTTAAAAAAAATATTATCAATAACAATCCATTATGACAAATATGACCCAACTAGGGCGGGTAGTTATATAGATTTACCAGAATGGATTAAACTAAAAAAGGCATGTATTAATATCAAAAACAAAGATAACAAATGTTTTAAATATAGTGTTCAAAGTGTAGTGTTTGATATAATTAATAAATCAAATTCCCAAGAAATGTTCCATTACAACAAATTAAACGACAATATCTTAAACTGGGAAGGTGTTAAATTTCCAACTGGTAATAAGGATATTGAAAGGTTTGAAGAAAATAATAGTAAGTTAGTTTCAATCAATGTTTATGAAATTGATGATACTTTGAATGACGAAAAAATTATAATTGATTATAGAACTAAAACAAGAGATGCTAAACATCAAATAAACCTTTTGAAAATTGAAATCAATAATAATAGTCATTATGTAGTTATTAAAAGTCTAAGTCGTCTAATGAACTGGCAAACAAACAAAAATGACCAACCAAAACATTATTGTCATTATTGTTCTCACGCTTTTACTAGAAAGGATTTATTAACAAAACATTATGAAACTGGTTGTATGGCAACACATGGACAACAGTTTAAATTACCAAAAGAAGGTAGTTATATTGAATTTGAAAAATACAATACAAAATTAAAATGTCCATTTGTTGTTTATGGAGATTTTGAGTGTATAACTGTAAATTCAAATAATGGCATCAAGGGCACGTATCAGGAACATAAACCATGCGGTTATATGTTGAATGTTGTAAATTCTATTGATAATACAAGCCAACCTTATTTATACCGTGGAGAGGATTGTTTAGACCACTTTGTAAATAAATTAAGAGAAATTAAAAAAGATATTTTTGATAAAATGAATGTTAATAAACAACTAGATATTACAGATGAACAAGAAGCAGAATTTAGAAAAGCTACTGTATGTTCAATATGTAATAAGAATTTTAAACCAGAAGATACAAAAGTCAGAGACCACTGTCATTTTACTGGTGAGTATAGAGGTTGTGCTCACGAAAAATGTAATTTGGATTATTCATTTAGATATTTCAAGATACCAGTATTTTTTCATAATTTAAAAAACTATGACTCTCACTTAATAATAGGCAAAGCAAATGAAATAAATAAGGAATTGAACGAAAATAAGAGAATAGATGTAATAGCACAAAATAGCGAAAAGTTTATTACATTTTCATTTGGTTCATTACAGTTTAAAGATAGCATGGCTTTTCTCTCAGCATCTTTGGATAAATTAGTTAAGTTAAATAAATATGACATAGTAGGTAAAGATGAACATGATAAACCTATATATAAAAAGCGGAATGACTGGAAGGATAATTTCCGATTTTCATCAGCAAATCCATATATTAGAAATAAAACCGATTTAGACTTATTAACTGAAAAAGGAGTTTATCCTTACGACTACATGAATTCATTTGATAAATTCAATGAATCGCAATTACCAAGTATAGAAGACTTTTACAGTCAATTATATGAAGAAGACATAACAGATACACAACACACAAGGGCAAAAGTAATATGGAATAATTTCAATATCAAAAACCTAGGTGAATACCATGATTTATATTTGATGACAGATGTTTATTTGCTTAGTGATGTTTTTGAAAACTTTAGGGATATGTGCTTAAATTATTATGGTTTAGACCCTGCTCATTACATAACATTACCTAATTATTCGTGGTCTGCCTTCTTATCTCTGACTGGTGTTAGACTTCAACAAATACATAATAAAGATATGTATGAAATGATTGAAAAAGGTCTTCGTGGCGGGATGACTCAATGTGCTCATAAAAAAGTAGAAGCAAATAATAAATACATGAATGAACAATATGACAAGTCAAAACCATCAAGTTATATAAGTTATTTAGATGCTAATAACTTGTATGGTCTGGCAATGAGTAAAAAACTACCGTTTGATAAGTTCAATTGGTATTTTTCAAGGATGGATGAGAAGAAAGTATTAAGTTATAGCGATGATGATGACAAAGGCTATATTTTAGAAGTTGATTTAGAATATCCAAAAGAATTACATGATTTACATAGAGATTATCCATTAGCACCAGAAATTATGAGTGTTAGTGAGAATATGCTTTCACCAGTTCAAAAAGAAATACATAAAAAATATTATGGAAAAGATGCATCTGATGAAAAAACAAATAAACTAATATTAAATGTTATGGATAAGAAAAAGTATGTATTACATATATCAGCATTGAAGTTTTATTTAGAGCATGGATTAAAACTAAAGAAAGTCCATAGGGTAATTAGTTTTAATCAAGCAGATTTCTTAAAACCATACATTGATTTCAACACCGAAAAACGAAAGAATGCTAAAACTGAATTTGAAAAAGATTTA